GAGAGGTGGGGTTTCAATTAGTCAAAAGGGTGGGCAGATTAGGAGGTAATCAACGACATAGAACTTTACAATTTTGTTGAGTCACTACATTCAGCCTTTCAAATATTTACCACTCAAGAAAATCGGAAGCTCGGATTTGCCTGGACACTGCACTACAGTAAGACACAGAAAAATGCTTCACCGATTATGAGCTAGGTAATCTGTCAAATCTCACCAACCATTTGCTCTTCGCATAGGTGGAATGTCCGAAGCCACAGCCGATAGAAGATCGTTCAATTTACAGAAGCGCGAATTCAACAAATGACTTATGAGTCGCATCCTGGATGCCTGAAAAAACAACACATTATGGACATCCGCAAACTGGTGCTTTACAGGCTAACCTGATATACCATATCCTTTTCTTTCACGATAACTGACAACTTCTCCTCTGAGTTTTTAAGACGTTGCGATATAAGAAACGATTGCAAAAATATATCCATCGATAAAGTCGAGGCTATTTTCTGAAGGGAGATCCGTATTCGAGTAGATCTTTGCATGGATCCTACCTCACACACATTCTTATCCGGAAGCATCACTACGCCAGATGCAACATGGAATCGACGACCCTCGTCATTTCCAAACATGCGAAGGTCTTCAACTACGATGCTAAACGGAACTGAGACCAGTGCTAATAAAGTCCCTTATGTACTGCTGTTTTGAGGCTGCGTTTGCAGCGAGAAAGCCGCTTCAGAGGGAGCTGCTAGAAGGCATACCTCGGATTAGTTAGCACGGGATGTCTCAAAGTTATGACGCAATTTTTGACTAGAATTGCCTCAGCAGACGAACCACATAGCCTCCATAGGAAGAAAGCGTCTTCGAGTCCCAATTCTCGCAGTACCCAGTTCCTATCATCACATGACTTGATTTTTCCTTAATATTAGGGCTTATATTTGTCATGGTGTTCGCTATAGTCGCTATAAACAGAAACTGACTGCTCAACACCTCTACAGAGTCGAAGTACACCAAGTCCTTCACAGTCTCCTTACGAGCTCGAGATAATAGTTCGCGCAACGGCGGACGTTGCGATGGCAGTAGCGAGAGGCATTGCTCAATTAGCAGCTGTACGTTTGCGTCGAGTCTGCTGAAGTTCATGACTCTACCGGAGGCAGACTGCAGTGCTTTGAAAACTGGACCGAGGAGAGA